GAGCCAGTAAAATATATGTTAGTTTCTACAGATCATTAAATTATCTACTTGTCTTGCTTTGTCCTATTTGCCTTTGTGCTCTACCTTTCCCATTACAATTTTCCTTAGGGTGTGGTTATTTTGTTTAGTTTTTGTTCTTTTTGTAAGGGTCGAACTATGGCTAACAATTCCTAGAACGATCTGTGCTCCCAACACGAAATCAGCAACAACGTATCGAGTACAGGTTACGTTTAATGAATTCGTGTCATTATAAAATTGAACTTGCAATGATAGACAAACATAGAATTCAATGAAATTTATCATTATCTACATAGTCTAAATAAATATAAGTGATGAACATCGGCGGTATTTATCTTTATATTATGTAATTCTGACTCTATAAATAACATTGGATACTTGTAAACAAGCACCAATCAATAGATCATTGATGTTGATCATCAAACATTTCGTTCGTGTATGTATCCATCTATGAAGCATGAATACGGATACGGGATACGAGTACGATACGATACAGATACGATAATACGATAAAATCTAAAAAAGAAGGATACAAGTACGGTCAAGATACGACTATAATAAAATATATTTAATATTTTTATTATTTTCAATNATAAATAACATTGGATACTTGTAAACAAGCACCAATAAATAGATCAGTGATGTTGATCATCAAACATTTCGTTCGTGTATGTATCCATCTATGAAGCATGAATACGGATACGGGATACGGGTACGATACGATACAGATACGATAATACGATAAAATCTAAAAAAGAAGGATACAGGTACGGTCAAGATACGACTACAATAAAATATATTTAATATTTTTATTATTTTCAATCAGTATAATATTTATATATTTTGGTAATTTTTTAACACAATAAGAAAAATTAGTAATTCTTTTTAGTTTAAAGAAATATATATCGTATCACTATGGTATATTCACAAAGTGAAGTGATTAATTAAAAGAATTAAAACTAATATTTACCAATTCGGTTTATTTAAAAGTAATTTTTGCTAAGACTATAATATAATAAATTTATTTTATACTCTGTTGACATGTAATTATATATAATATTTAAAAAATACTCATGTGCCTTTGAAGTAGTATGAATTTTTGTAAATGTATTGTATGGTACGTGAATTCGAAAGGAAATGTTAAAAATTCAACTAAAACATTATATATATTGCTTAAACACAAAAGTATCCGTGAAATATTTTAATATTTAATTATTATCGGATACATAGGAGGTATATTCGATATGTATCCTCGAGTATCCGACAAGTACCATATTTGATAAAGTATCTGATACAGATACGCCGACCTCAACGAAGTATCCGTGCTTCATAGGTATTTACTATGTTNTCTTTGAAGTAGTATGAATTTTTGTAAATGTATTGTATGGTACGTGAATTCGAAAAGAAATATTAAAAATTCAACTAAAACATTATATATATTGCTTGAACACAAAAGTATCCGTGAAATATTTTAATATTTAATTATTATCGGATACGTAGGAGATATATTCGATATGTATCCTCGAGTATCCGACAAGTACCATATTTGATAAAGTATCCGATACAGATACGCCGACCTCAACGAAGTATCCGTGCTTCATAGGTATTTACTATGTTTCGACCACATATTTTCTCATGGTATTTGGGCAGTTGATCATTTATTTTAATTTAAGTTCCACACTTCTTGCTTATCTTTTCAATGTACAAACTTGAGAGTTATTGATAAAGGTATGATAGGATTCAAAGAGATTTATCATTATTTACTTAGTCCGGATAAATATAAATTATGAGAATGATTGATATTTATCTTTATTTACTTAGTCGGGATAAGTATAAATGATGAGAATGATTGATATTTATTTTTATCTTGTGTATTTCTAACTATATAAATAGGGTTGAGTTATATGAAAACAAGTACCAAGCAATAATATATCAATGTAGTCCATCAAACATTTGTAACGTGGATGTTGGTATTATGTGTCAAACCACATATTTCTTCAGTTAGACCAGTTTNGATGAGAATGATTGATATTTATTTTTATCTTGTGTATTTCTAACTCTATAACTAGGGTTGAGTTCTATGAAAACAAGTACCAAGCAATAATATATCAATGTAGTCCATCAAACATTTGTAACGTGGATGTTGGTATTATGTGTCAAACCACATATTTCTTCAGTTAGACCAGTTTAATAAATCTATTAAAACAAACCCAACAATGCATAAAATTAAAGAGGCAATTTATACCCATTATAGAATGGTCGGATACGAGTTAAACAAATTCAAGAATTACATAGCTTAGACAACTTAGACACGATGCTGCATCTATTGGATCTTCCTCTCAGCAACTTAGCATGATTTCTTTTAAGGACTATTTTTGTATAAACTTAGGGAATGAATTCTTAGGAAAGTACCGAGTATCTTTTATACTTCCCTCTGAATTTAGGTCTTTCTTCTCTATTTTGATGGATAACATTACTTGTTCTTTTGTTGCTCATGTATAGCTTCTTTTCAATACAAACTTTACCTTTCGAGAAACTCCAACCATGATCAATTTCTTCACTATGCGTCTCTGCTAAAACCTTGTAGAAAAGATCAACCTCACATGGGAGCAAGATGGATCCTTCACTGTTAAACCCATACTCCATTTCATCATCTTCAATAAGCATCTTGAATAGTGGATGATTGGCATACTGAGTCTAGATCACAAACCATTCTCTCTCCTCCACTACATAGAGTCAAAATGATTTAAAGTCTTGGAGTAATGAATAACATAGCACGTAGCGGAAAACAAATAAGTGGCATTGCAACATCAAACCAGAAATTTACATTTTGCAAAAAAATAGAAGCTTGTTCCAGCTAGTACGCTGCGACAAGATAATATTGCAACACACTTCATTGCTTAAAATTGATCATATTGATCTATCCTTCGGAAATATGAACATATCGCACTTTGAAATAAAGAGATAGCTCAACCATAAGAAGCCTACAAGCAGAAGTTGTCAAAGAGAATAATGATTCTTATTATCAATTTGATGTCAAAAAATAGATCAATTGACATGCTATTTGACCTTACAGTCCCTACTATTTCATCACTTCGCAATTTATAGTATGAAAAATTTACCCCAACCCCACTAAGTTGAATAATAGTCTCAAACAAACAGAGTATAAGAAGAGGAGGGAAGCAACTCAGCCTAAGCTTAAGAGAGCCATATGAAAAACAAACGCAGTTTAATCCATATGATTTAATCTTTTTTCCCGATTAGTAGTTTGCCCATTCTCGACACCCAGACAATTCAACTTACCAGCATATTTCTCAGGAGAACTATTAAAGTAACTTTCTTTGGACTTCATGTCTTTATGTTGAACAAGTAAACATACTATCCAAACCAGAAACAACAATTTTCTCAACCTTCAACCGCTCCACAAGCTTATTAAATCCACTATGATGCACTTTTCAGTATTCTCCATACAATAAATGTCACTTGGGCCTAAAAGCCGACAGAGTTATTGGCATAGACACCCTCATTGAGACTAAATTCACAAAAGTTGTATTGACAAACACCATTCTTATCAGTCCCACATGTGGGAAGATCCCTGTTGTTCAGAACATAGGTGGATAAATTATTACATCACATATTAATTAATGCTAACACATCTTCAGGATTATGATCCAAAACTTTCTAAACTTTGTTTTTCATGAAATTTGAATCAAAAAGCAAAAAACCACATAACTCCATTAAACAATATCAAAGCCCTTCAACCTTTTCATTCTCTTCTTCTTCCACTAAAAAATTTGGAAACGGTTCGTTAGACCAAACTATCAATCAAAGCGTAGATATCAATAGATACATATGTATAGTGAAGTTACCTTAACTCTCATAGTGCTGAACTGGTAAGTTGGGGAGACGACATGATGACAAAAAGTCCAACAATGATCCAACTTCAACAATCTGTGAAGGTTTTATACGGAGTGGAAATAGATGAAATCACTGTGACTCTATTTATTGGTAGAATTTGAAGCGGCTGTCAGACCAAAGAAGAAACTTAACCAGCGCCTATGTAAACCGGTAAGAATAGGAAACATATGATAAAAGAACATGAGATATTGATAGATATAGATTATAATATTAAATCTAGAGGATAAACATGACATAATTGTAATGTTGGAGGATAAAAATAAAAAAAAAAAATATTTTTTATGTATGCATATATTTTAAAGTAGTATAGATTTATCTGTTCTTGGGTATTTTATTCACTTTTTTCCCTTATTTTCAGGGAAAAGGAGTTGAAGCAATTCTAATCCACCCCGTCCACTCGACACCAAATTAACACCAATGTATCAAATATGAAATTTATCTTAATGGGATCATGTCAAAATAGGGTTGAATTGCTACACACATTCAATAAACAGTTTGATACAACCTCAACTATAAACAAACTCAATACACACGAGTTATAAACGGATTCAAAAATTTAGATAAATGTTAATGTTATGTGACTTAAACAGTCGTGATCTACTATCAACTCTAATTCGAGTGAAAGAAAACTTTTAGAACTTCAATATTGATAGATAAAAGTTCTTCAATGAATCAAACTTGTACATGTTTGACACTTGTACATAGTATAGTGACATAAAGGACCACTCATGCATCAAACAATTTTGGCCTTCAAGGATCGGCCATTGGTTCAACGGTTAGAGTGTCTGGATCAGTTTACATGCACATCGACTAATTCTCTCATCAGTCCGATCAAAAACAGATCATCTACACCGAGACTTGAGTATTATCCCTCAAGTTCAGACTCTAAGGAGTAAATAGGAAATATAATCAACTATAAGTGGATAATTAGGGCTCCACTAGAGCACAATTTTATATCATTATATTCATACAGATACATGAAAGTGCTATAGATATACTTTCCTATATAATCATATAGACTGGTGGAATTTCATAGTCTAAATATCTTACAAAATGACTTTGGCCTAATGTGGATTCATCTTAAGGAATGGAGAAGGAGTGAGAAGGGCATAAGAACCATAGCCCTTGGCCATGTCGCTGCTACCCAAACGATGGATTAGATTGAAAGGAAAAGGACTGCACGAGCCATGCATGAAACTCCAACCATGATCAATTTCTTCACTGTCCATCTCTGCTAAAACCTTGTAGAAAAAATCAACCTCACATGGGAGCAAGATGGGTCCTTCACTGTTGAACCCATTCTCCATTTCAGCATCTTCAAGAAGCATCTTGAAAAGTGGATGATTGGCATACTCAATCTTGATTACAAACCTTTCTCTCTCCTCCCCTACATAGACTGTGAAGCAACCCACTGGAGCTATGTTTTGGCCCTTCTTTTTGGCCTTACAGTGCCATGATTTTCTCTTTGACAAAAGATTTGAATGCAGAGTTGATGATGTCTTGTGACCACCATTGAGTGATCTACAACGCTCCCATATCTTGACGAAGAAGTTATTCTTCTTCTCACCCTTACCCATATCAATATCCATTCTCAGAATGAGAAAAAAACTTAAAATATTCGGTGGGTTTTTTATTATTGTTCGAGTTTCAACTTCTGTCTAAGGCCAAATAGAACATGGACGTCAATCTTGGCCTTGTTGTATTACTCATGTCTCAGTGAGGTGGAAAACAAAGGCTATTAGTGGAACAAGAGTGTGAAAGGAGCCATGAGAGGAACTCTTTTTCAACTGAAAACACAAGCCCTATTAAGAGTAGAACCTTTTCAACTGAAAACTAAAAAACCCTATTGAATAGAAGGGAGGGTATCAATAGTCCAAACCCATAAAAAGGATGGGGAGAGAAGATAGAGACTCGCAAGAAGAGATAGTCTTCTGACCTGCGCTAATTGGGTAATCTCTTTATAGGAGTCAGGAGAGGCCACACTCATATTTTATTTGAGAAATTTTTTCAGTGGGTTTAATGCCATCACCAATAAAGAATTATATTGCCAAATGAATAGGTTTCACCTATCATCTTGTTAGAATTTTTTTAAAAAATCCATATTGTTCTTCCTATAAATTATTTTTGTGATAACCTCTCATTGAATGTACACACCACATAACAGTGTTACATGATATGTTAAACTTATATAAAATTTGTTCTATTTTTATATACTAATTGATGTACAAGTACATTGCACGTGAATCGCTTTGAATTGAACTATTTTGAATGAAAGTTGTGTACCACTTTCTCCAAAATCCTTATCCTTGATAAATATTGATCATTAATTAGTTAGAAATCAAGTTCCATAGAAAATCTAATAAATATTGCACAAAAGAACATCGTTCACCATTTCATCTTTGTGTTTTATATTTTTTAACATATTTCTTTTGTATTCTTGCTTGCATGAACATATGTTAAGATCATACATTTGAAAAACACTTGCCAAGGTACAAGACTTTCTGGGACACTATTTATATGATTTGTCATCGGAACAGACAAATTTATAGGCTCTCCAAAAATGAGGAAAACACATTATAAGCCCAAATTGAAGTAAAAAACAAAAATATACTAAAAATGGAAATTTCTTTTAGACCATCAAATGAAGAACAAAATCTTTTAAACTAAAAAAACGAAGCAAAAAGAAAAAAAACCTGTGGACAAGGAGATAGAAGAGGAGATCTATGTTCATACATGCACAAACCCAAAAAAATATTGAATTCTTTCTCTCAAATTAAGAAAAATATATTGTAGAAAATAAAGTGTGATGAGACATGGAAAAAAAAACGTAGCTGGCAAGGAGGAGTTGTAAATAGAAGTGGAAAACTGAGGAAGACACCTAATTATCCACTATATCTTTATTTATAGACAGAACAAAAATAAGAGATGAATGTGTTTTAATATAATTCTTAGTCTTGACATTAATGATCTGTCTTTAACTAGACCGATGAGAGAATTAGTTAACGTGCACGTAAGCTGACTCAAACAATTATTCATTGTAGATGACAAATTATCTATATCTATATCTATACCTATATTATTAATAAAAGTGACTTAAGTAAAAAACTTTTGATATAATTCTATAATGTCTACTTTATTATTTTTAAAGTGACTTAAGAGAAAAACTTTTGATTTTCTTATTTATCCTTAAAAAATTCTACTTTAACCTTTTTTAAGGAATTTTTTATTTTTTTATTAGTTGCATTAATTCAAATAAAAGCATTGTTTGACTTTTAATTATCTTCTTTCTAAACAGTATAAATTCGATTCAAATCCGATTTGAAAAATGTGATCCAAATTTCAATTTAATTGTCCAACGAATTTTATTTTTCATAGTGCATATATGAATCCGTTAAAATAAGTATTTGTTCTGATCCGAATAAGTTGACTAGAGACGATTATAACATTTAGCACATGGATTTTTCCTCAATTTTATTAAATAATCACCAAATTACATCATATGTTTGTATATATTTGTAGGTACATAGTGCATATCTAAATTCGCTACAAAAAAATACTTGAATAGATCTAATAATCTATATACTAATTTCGAATGTCAACGCTTGTCAAAAAAAATTAATTGATAATAATATCATTAAAAAGATAAAAAAAGACAATAATAACTTATTGTAATAATTCTTATTGGTCCAAGAAATTATTAATCATTCAACTATTAATCACTTATTAAAGTTAAACATTACAGTTTTTAAATGCACCGCAATTCATTTTTTTTTTCCTTGGAACCTTATGCAATTCAATTCATATAACTTAAAATACGAGAAAAATCTTGAGCATAACAGTTATTCTACGTCAGCAGTACTACTTTTTATAATTGTCAACTAACAAGGGAACAAGTGAACAAGTAAGTCTCGTAAAATTCAATAATCATAATATAATATATTCTCATTTCTATATAAAAAAAATTGGTCCAACTTATCCGTCTTTTTAAAAAAAAATCAAAATAGTTAACGTGCGAGTGCACAAACTAGTCTAGACAAAAGAGTTGTGCTCTGGTTCGAGTCCATGTATGACATCTGAGCCACCACGGCGTCAGCAGTGGGTCCATTTTACACTAGTAATGGAAGTAGACAATTTTTCTACCAACCGACATGAAAATCAACATCCATTACATCAAGGGTGAAAGCATACATGATACATGCATTAAAATAATAGAATATTTCCTTAAAAAATAGGAACTTAACCACAGGAATCATTAGAAGGCCATTCACGAGTATCATCAACTTCGCAGACATTCAAGTCATTTACTTTTGGTCGCCATCATCAAATCAAGAAAATTATTATTACATCAAAGAATTGTTTTTCAGTATTGCATCAAAAGTATGACTCAGTTGGAGTGAGATTAGGATTAAGTAAGACGAGGTTAAATTAAAATGGAGCCTTGTGATTTCATTTTTAATTTTAGGATCAATCATAAAATTTTAGTATTGATCTCACTTTTTTTAGCGGTAAATTTATCTTTTTCGATTGTTAGTTGTCCAAAATTGAATTGTAGATTAGTATAATAAGCAAGAAGTGAATGAATAATTATTGAAACTTATCATCTTGGATGGGGATTTTAAGCGAACGGTTGAACTCATAAGGAAGTGGGAATGACGTCTTTCTGAAATCGGGCATTTTCTAGATTTTATTCAAGACTTTGTGTTAAACTTTTTCTCTTTTGATGTGACCTGGGTCCGTAGGTTTGACAACATTGTTGCCCACTGTTTAGCTAGAAATGATAGTAATGTTTTGAAGTGTAATGTATGGAGCAGAGTTGCTCGACTTTTTAAGCTATGTTGGGTATTGGTAATAGAGAGAGAGAGAGAGGAGTAAAGAAATTTGATCAATTGTCATCTCTCTCCTGCAACTAAAATCCCGCTGGTGCATTCTCATTCCTAATATCAATTTACACAATATTAATTAAAAGCATAATATGAATATTCAAGTTAAATATATTGTCTTTATTTCATATAGAAGTAGTTTCAATACTTGATTTGGTCATGTTTGGTTAGTCAATAATCATATTTAAGCAACTCAATATATGAAAAATAAACGGTCAAACAGAAGAAAATATACCAAATCGCGTAGTTAGTGAAAAAGCCAAAACACATGGAAAGAAAACGATCAAGAAAAATTGAAGTTTGTTAAAAGTCAATCAAACCTGTTAGTTGCATTTGTGAAAATATAACTACGAAAATGAAATCAACATTGCGACTGTTCTCGCCGCACACAATAATGTCGTGGTTAAGAGGTGACAAATTTAGAGTGGAGCTTCTAGGATTTTCTACTATTGCTAGCTTGACTCTTCTTTTTCTACCCTTTTTTTTTCTTTCTACTTGACGTACATAATATATGTAACATTCATTGAAAATGCAGTATCAATAGCAGCTCAAATAGTCAGCAGTCCAACAGGCCACAAAACCTTCACTAATATTAATGTTGCTCATAAGGGCAGCCTATACCCCAAATAGATACTTCACCGGTTCACCTTATTGGGATTTTTTTGTTTTTTTTCAGATTCAACGGTCAGAAGTGTTCAAGTCAATTTACCCGCACTTTGACTAATTACTTCTCCAGTCCGGTCAAAGGTAAGCTATCCAAGCTATAACTAAGGTATTCATAAAGGATAAATCTCTCATAACTTGACCTAAAAAATTATCAAAATTCAAATTAAAAACATTTGAATTAATAGCCCAGTCTTATTACTATTTGAGCTAGTGCATGCATGATTACTTGTTGGGATTTGTCAAACACATGCAGCAGCATCCGTCAGTTGAAGTGAAAATAATTATTTAATCCCAATATGGTTAAAAGGTGCGCAGTTCTTGTGAATTCAACACCTTTTTTTTTTATAACCCTGAGGATGTGAGGATAAATATTATTAATTAGCAAACAAATTACTAGTGGACTAACAACTAATGAAAATTCAATTCATATAATCAATGTATAGTTCTCAAATTTAGTCCTCAAATTAAATTCCGATAACATTTTATTTTATTTAAACGAGAACTCTAGCTCATATTGGATCGATCTAAATCGTCCATAAAGCATAGGTATCGATTAAAAGATGACTCTTTAATATATATATTCCTTCATTTTAGCATGGGAAAGAAATAAACTAAAGAAGAGAAATGAGACGTGGTGGTGTGTTCAATACATCGTTATTTTGGGGTTTTTTTTTTAACGGACCTTCAATCTATCTATAATAAGACTAGTTGTTGCACACGATTTTCAAGTTTCATTTTTTCTTTAATTTTTTAATTTTACAATGAAATGTTGTGTGGCCAAATTATCCTTGAAAAACCATATATTGAAACATAAGTACCAAGCTAGATTATAATTGGAAAATACAAAACCTTAAGATGGAGTCTAATGGAAAAAAAGTTGGTATTTATTCTTTACAAGGGTTACAATGAACCCCTTTCTCGACGTATACAATAGCCATCTCCACAATTTGGGAATTTTTTTGATTTAATTCATCTGAAAAACTGATAACTTTCTTTTGCTTCGTCCCTATTAATGATTAAACCCTGACAAACAAACTCTCTCATATCAGACTAAAATAGAAAAGCAGAATTTAGGTAAAGGTTATCACCACAAGGTGGTGTTCATTTAAAAAAGTCATGGTTCGTGATATATATACCCGGCTTCAAAAGTGTGTTATTTTACAAAGTAAACACATATAATTGGGCCCTCTTTCTCACTTAATATAGATTAGTGTAGATGTATCATCCATGAAACCAAGAGGCTATAAATGTATCATGATGATTCTTACCGGGTCCAAATGCTTCATAGCAACCTCATGGACAAGCAAATTATAGCTTAACTTAAAATCTCATGATTTAGAATAATAATGTGTTTTACATTCCTCTGTGCACATTAAAACAAAACTACTTTTGGAAAACAAAAAATTATACATTATTTCCAAACAAATCTCTTTTGCTGAAA